ATATATATATATCCCTATATGCCCTTATACAACCCCTATGCCTGCGGAAGTTGGGATGCTGAGAGAGTTGGGGGTGCATACGTCCTGCCCAATGTAGACCGCACAATAATGCTTACTTTAGGACGTCGAGATCACGATCCCCTGGTTTCATAGAAGCAGGAGGGTTCAATGAAGAATCTCGAACGCAAGTCCCGTTCGAATGGAGACTCGCCGGAGGCCGGAATCCGAAGAACGTATCTGGAGTGACACTTCCACGTGACTCCAGCAAGCTTGTAGTAGGACACTATCAAGCACGGCCATACCCTCACGTAGAAGTAAAGGGTGGGCAGGGTGGGATGAAAAGCTGCCTCCACGTACTGCATGGTGACCAAGTTGGGAAAGCTGTGAGCCGCCCTCTCTGCTGCCTCTGGATCCTGCTCTATAGACACTGCAAAGACGCGCAGCCCCAGTGCCAAGCACGCAAAGAGGGTACCTCCAAATCCAGACCAAAGATCGACTACAATCCATGTACCCAAAGCTGACCAAGCATATGATGGAATTTCCCCTCGACCCCGCCAGACTACTGGTTTGCAAGCTCCCAATCTAGCTTGGACATCAGAAGGGGGGCAGAACGCAAAAGCACAGCCAGCATCTTTTTGCATGGAATGGCCCCCTTGCAGGACGACCCTCCGAGATGCAACTGACTCTGAATCTTCCTGAGCGTTCGATGACAGAGCTGATGACGATGAGGCCTCGTGCGCTGGGGAAGCCAACTGCGCTGAACCATCCCGAGCTGGCTCTTTGACATCCAGATGGGTTGAGGATAACGTTCAGGCATTCGGGCAATCATTGCGCCTGTGTTTGCCTCCACACCCTCGGCCATTGGAGAGCTTACGGTCACAAAGGTGCCAACCATCTGGGCATTGCTCACCCACCTTGCACTTGCTGCAGGATCTGTTGTCGTTGAAACCCTTGCATAACACCTTGTTTCCCCAAGAGTAGTCACCGTGGGCTGCCCACGCGCAGGTGGCGCACCCTTTGGCGGCTTCGGAGCCGAGGTATCTCGGGCAGTGTCCAAGGATCTCTTCTCCGCCACAGGGCGATCAAGTTGATCAAGGGGTCGGTGGCCCGGTCCTTGCAGACGCGAAGACGATGAAGTTGGAATGATTGCCCACTCAACCGTCTCGGATAGGGCCCTCTGCAGAGCTTCACACGGTGGCCATCCCTGAAGCTGATGAGACGCCATGCGAGATCTTGTTAGCTGGTCATTCTTCACCATCCACCCCAGCTGCGCCTCCTCCGGGACTTCGATGCTCTTGCGAAGGACGGTGTCCGAATACGCAAGGGCCTGACCATAGGGCATGGCCATCACCTTAGTTCCCGGAGTGCTCTTGGACTCTACCTCTGCTGTGCCCACATAAGACCACACGTTTGTCATGGTACGATGCAGCAGATAGAAATGGGATACGTTGCGGAACTGCACACGTGCACCCCCTGTGCCATGATCCGTGACAGTAAGGGTGGCATCACCAAGAGCAATAATTTATCTCCCTGGAATCTCTCTGCCAAAGCTGTGCGCATTTTCTGCAAATCAAGAACAGTTGTGACTTGACCTTGAACCCACTCTCGATAGAGCCTGTGGACGATGGCAGAGGCCCCCATGAGAGCAGGGTCCAGCTGGACATCCGGGTATTTCGATTTCCACTTTTGATCAAGCATCTGGCGGATATTGTCCGGCAGAGGTTCATCCTGGGAACTGGATGCTGGTTGGAGATCTGCAACTTCCAACACCTTGCGGGCGCTTTGCCACGCCAAGCGTACCCGAGCCAGCTGACTAGGTTTCATGGCCTCGGTGATCACCGTCGCTGTGACCGCAGGATCAATGACCTTCTTTTCCAACTCGCTTTCCCAAGCATCTTTGGCAACGTAGAGAAAGAAATCCTGAAGCGATTCCATGCTCAACTTGTCTTTCATGTATGTAATGAGTTCGGTCTTGACCCGGGAGATGGACAGGCAAGACGACAGCCCTCCATCTGACGCCCCCACTTGGATGACCGATGCTGCGGCTGCAGTCATGGCTGCACTTAAGAGCTCTTGAACAAGGAAGCCCCCTCTGGGTCTCGGAGCAAGATCACTAGCGGGCTAGACCACATGTACATGATGCATAACAAACACTGCGGTCCCTTGGCTGCAAGCAGAGTCCTGCGGCAAAAGGTGGTTTTTTCCTCTCAACGCTGTTGACATCCACTGTGCAACTAAGGAACGCCCCTGGCCTGCTAATGACCGAGGCAGCCCTAGCCCTGCCCTCAGAAAATGGGGATCCTTTTGTGACACGGCCGACTGCCACGGGGCCATTGGATCTTGTCACCTCTGTAGCACCGGATGTGTTTGCCGTTGCTGCCTCACTCATTCCCGCTATCCTCTGAAGCCGTCGTAGGCAGCGCTGCACTCATCCCGAGTTTCAGGGCCTGGCGAAGATCATGAGGCAGGCGGCGCTGGCAGCTCGTACATATCGAAGAGCTCTGTGTCGTTGGGTCAGATCCTTCCTCGGCTACTCGGGCAGTAAATGGGGAGGATCTGCACCAGGGAATGGGCTTACCATCTAGCGTCTCCTGTGTCAAATGACAAACCTTGCTACGCACCATAATGAACCAGGACATCTGGGACAGCTCTCGCCAGTTAGGCAAAGAAGACTGACCCTCAGGAACTGCCTCTTCCGAGGAAACAGACTGGTCTGATGAAGACAGCTCGTCCCCCCCTGGCTCAGGCTCCTGGACTTGGATGCTCTGGCGCGTTGCCCTCTCAACCGGTTTCGCCGGCTGCCGTCTCTGATGGTGGTGCTGTTGTCGAGTTCTTGCTTGAGTTGATGCGGATGTTTCTGCACTTTCAAGTTTGGCAATTAGGAGGGCACTGTCGAAATCATGATGGTGAGTGCCAGGTTCAGCCTTGGCCCCGAGTGACTGCAACAAGGATGCCACATCTTCAGCCGAAGGACGAAATCTCTCTAAGTCAGCCCAAGTGATGCTCTCTGCAAGCCACTGAATGTTACCGTCCGGAAACTTGGCGCGTGCTGCCCGAGCCAACGTGTTGAACAAAACCGCAAGGCTAGCAAGCTGGACACGCCCCGCCACCTGTGATTTTACACCTGAGTAACGCAAGGACATTGGGAAGGATACTCGCATGGACTGGAGGGCGCCCCCTGAGTCGGACCCGCGTGCAGCTCCAACATCCTGCCAATGGCCAAGGGCTTGGCACTGTTGTGTATCCAAGTGGAGAAAGTGCGCAAGGGTGGGACCAAAGCGACGCAAACTGTTAACGGTATATTCGTCAGGATTTTTGGCACGCAGTTGAACCAAGATGCCTCTAAAAGCCTCCGTAAAGGCTCTGAACCCCACGGGAACTGGCAGAACCTCACCCGACGCCCACGCATAGCTGCTGTCGCGACGCAAGGATGGAATCAAGAACGGATCACGGCTGATCGGCATTCGTGGTGCCAACTGACTGTATAACCGCTCCAAACCCTCTGTCCAATCCAGGGGCTCGTGGAGGCCCGGAACACCCCCACAGAGTCCATCTAAGATCGGAACGGTCCAGGAGTAGGCTGGTCTGACTCCCTGGACTCTGCGCTTACCTTTAACGCAATGAGCGTGCAGGAGAGTGCCGCATGACTGGGTGATGTAGGACCGTTGGAGATGCCGCCATCTGATACACGATAGAAGCGCTAGAAGAACGGATTGGAGAAGTACCTTTCCCGGCCCGGCCGCCTTAAACAAGAGGCACAAGACCGCCACTGCGAAGGATGGCTCCACGACCTTTGCCTGTTTCACTTGATTCGCGCGGGCTTGTCCAAAGACGAAGTCTTTGCAGTCGCTGAGTGGGAGATCGATCCCGAGACGATCCTTTAAGAACTGCAGCTGATGCCAAACGCTGCGGGCTGCTGTGGGACCCCCACGCGCAACGTGCTGCATGAACCTGAACAAGGTGACCTCGTCTGGCTTGGTCGGTGAACAAGAGGGCGCCTCCACAGCCCGCCAGGACTCCCAGCGCTTCCAAGCACGCAGCGGTGCCTTCAGTTGGTCCTCATCAAACCGCTCGAACTTGGAGAGCACCCATGGACGAAGGCCCTGGTCACCCTCCTTCGGTTCTGTGCCGCGCTGCCGGAGAAGCTGTCGCCGCAAGTTGTGCTCCCCTGATAACACCCAAAGCTTCCAGAGCTCTTCTCTCTGGGCATCAACAGGAGGGAACGGAGTGGCCGCCGAGGACGACGGACAAACTACCTTGACCTCCTCCAAACCTGTTAACGAGTCTGTGGTAGTTTCCCTGCGGTGCTTGCAAGGCCCGACTGCTCGAGAGGTATGAGCACCAGCAATAAGCGAGCGCTTCTGGGACACAGACCCACTGTTCTTAGAACGTTCCAAGCGGACGATTTGGTCCACCACGGAGTGATCCTCCTGGGCCAACTTCCGACAAATGCCCCAGGCTGCAACCAACGTGTCAGCAAATGCACCTAGACCATAAGTGGTCGACCATTCTCGAACGGCATCTTCAGAAGAAAACAGGAATGCTAGATCGCCCGCCGATTCGACCCCTATGTCGCCAAGGATTTGCCAAACAGGTTCCGCTATGATGCGTTGCCATTGGTCCCTCGATGACATATTGGCTCTCTCTGGACTCCAGGTGGCCACTGAAAAGCCCAAGAGGGGGTCTAACCATATGAAAAGCTGAGTGACGCAGTGCACACCACAGCTTGGCTCAAAGAGCTTGAGCCAAAATGGCTACGGAGAGCTGAGTGACGCAGTGCACACCACAGCTTGGCTCAAAGAGCTGCAGCAAGTGGTGTCTGATGCTTAAAGAATAGACCCTTCTAGACCCAAACCACCCAGGCCATGCTACAGAAGGTGATCCACATTCATCCCTAAACCCTAAACCCTCTTCCCAAAAGCCAGTCATCCGCTCAGGACTCCCTTGGCCTCCCCATCTTCAGTGGCAAACCTGAGCGTAGCAGAAAGGGGGTTTCCGCAAATTGAGGGTGGCTTTTTGGGGTTCCGAGGAAAAACATGGGATATATAGGGGGATATAGGATTTAGGGTTTACCAAAATTAGATATACTTTTTTGATGGTCCCAAAAATGAGGACCATAGTATATTGGGGTCTATATCGGGGTACTTTTTTTTGGGAAACTACCAATCCAGCCTTCACTGAAAGTAAAAAAAGCTCCCGCTTTGAGCGGCAGACTTACTAGAAATTCTTCAACTAGCGCACTTTCCCTCGATTGTTGATAAATGGGGGACCCCAATACAGACCCCTGTAGGGGACCGGCAAGAAGAGACCCCAAATTATTAGAAACGATATGGGGGTTTCCAAACTTGAGGGTACTTTTGGTGGGGGCCCTAGAATAAGGATTGTAGTATTTTGGGTCTATCTTGGGGTGGGAAAGCTACCATACCATTCCCATACAACGCCGACATAACGCTAGTGTCCATTTCAGTTTCCATTTCCTTTCCATTACTGGGAGTTATGTACCCCCCATGCACCATAAAACCCTAATTAAAACCCAAACCCCAAACCCTAAACCCCCAAACCCTAAACCCCAAATGAGCCGTGGCCAAAACCCCTTGAACCTTCGGTTCTCGTATCAATCACTATCGCGAAACCAGACGTGTTACTGACGCGCCAGCACGTCGCGAGCTCTTGCTGTTCATTTGCACTAACGCGAGCTATCGCCAATGAGATATGAATGACAACCGCAGGTTTTACCGACGCGCGCACAGCTTTTACTGACACGCACGCCTTGCCAGCTTCGCACGGAGGCTTCTTACCAAGCCGAGATCGCGAGCTATCGTGGACAATGTGCCTGCAAAAAACTGACGCGCACTCACGCGCAGCATCGATATGAGAACCCTCTTATACAACTCCTTCGTAGGGGTTTTGGCCGCCACTCAAATAGTGGTTTCCACTTAATTGTCCATTATCCCCATCTAACCCCAATGTAACCCTAATACTACCCCCAATGGGTACCCCATAATCTCACTAGGACTGCTCGCAGGCCCTAAACCCTAAACCCTACACCCTAAACCCTATGCGCTGAGTGGGAGGCGTAGCGATGCCATCAATGATGTCGTGGAGCCAGCATGGGGCCCACACCTGCACATGTGGTGACATAGGGATGATAGGGAACGTAGCTGTTATATAGAGATCCTATAGGAAAAATATGTGGAATAGGGACATTACCCTGATAAAGAGACAAATGGAATAGAAAATGCCAAATGAAATGGAGACTGGGATGCTATTTTGGAGTTTCCCAAATCAGGCGTACCTTTTGGGAGGTCCCAATAATGAGGATCATAGTATATTGTTGTCTATATATTGGGGTTCCCTCTTTTTTGGGAAGCTACCATATGGGGAAATGGAAAAGAGCGTGGAAACTCCAATGTTGTCTAGTGTTTAGGGCTATAGTTCAGGTCCGTGCGCAATGCAGCATTCCCTAGTATGGGCATGCTTAGGGTCTGGGTTTTGGGGTTTAGGAACTCTCGAGGTTATGTAGGTATACATAGGGATTATAGGGGTGGTATGGGGTTTATGTATGTTATGTCGCTAAACCCTAGCCTTAATTGAACCCTAGATCAAAGTGCACTTCATGAAGACCCTTGGCCTACTTGTTCATCTTCCAGTCCTAGATAACCCTATACCATCCCTAAGGAATCCCCAAATAACTCCATGCAACCCTACATGATCCCATATAACCCCTATATTCCCTACCTGAACCCCTGTTCCTGTCACAGCCCCGGGGCCAAGACCAGCTGGGGGTGCGGAACCCAGAGGCGACGCATGAGCCTTCAAGTCACCGGAGCCAACGCAGGGGCTATGTAGGGAATATAGGGTTACATAATTTAGGGTTCAGGGTTTAGGGGTTATATGGGAATTGTATAAGGCTATGCGAGCTACAATGAAAATTTCCCTTGAAGATGAATGGACATGGGTTAATTATTCGGGAGCATACTAGGGACTATACTAAACTACAAGAGGGACTCCTCTGTCCACTGTCAAGGGCCCCGCAATAAGGCTAATATTGACTGTAGCACAATAAGGGGTTACAGAGGGAATGAAGTACAAACGTTGAGGCACAACACGGTCAACGCAAGCAATGAAGTCCATTTTCTGAGGCCGCGGCTTAGGACGTACATGCGCGCATTCTCTGATGAAGCAAGCTGGGCATTGCTTGTCGCAAGAGACCCGCTATTGGGGCCTAAGGCTGATGAAAGTGACAGCTAAGTAGGATCCTGAAACAATAACTTCTAAGCGCTTGATCAAGCGGATTGTGCTTCATGTTTTCAAGTGCTGCCAAACTTTGTGGTTAAGTTTTCGTCGGCGAATCTCACATGGGTCACAGGCGCCATAGCATGTTGCCAGTGTACTGCCGTGATGGCTGCGCAGGGCATCGAGCAGTCAAGCACCAATGGCTCCTCGAAGGCAATTCCGCCACACGGTAGTTTCCCAAAATAAGGGGACCCCAATACAGACCCCAAAATACTATAGTCTTTATTATTGGGACTCCCAAAATGGTACCCCTAATTTTGGGAAACTCTCACACAGCTCTTCCGCAAATGTCTTCGCATTTTCTCGCCGTGGAGAATTAAACAAGGTCAACTAAGAGTCTGAATAAGAAGCAGCAGCAAGAGTTCTCTGAGGTTCACACACAAAGAGCGACTACGCACGGTCAATGTCTGTGAGCCGCCACACTGCCAATTATCCAGGCCCTTCTACTGTGATCGCTACCAGCGCCCAGGTTGAGGACAGAGATCATCTAGAATTTCTTTGATCATCTCATGCAGTGTCTGCACCTGAAAACACAGATCAGATTCTGCATAAATGTGCGTGCGTCCTTCATTGTGTGTTGTTCAGTGTCGTAATGTATGCAGGTTGTGTACACGGCCTTGTTCAAAGAAACGCAATTGCTTCCAATCCATGTCCTCACCTGGAAAATGTGTTGGCACCTCTAAGGCCAGTCCTGTACTAGCACTTCTGCATCATGATTCTGAAGGCATGAGGCATGAAGGGCACGTCGGCCTCTGCAAGTTCTGTGGCTATTGCTGCTGGCACTCTTCCACAGAGTGGTCATAAACCGCTACTCCACCACGACCACCACCTCCTCCTTCTCCTTTTCGTGCTCGAACCTTCCTCTGCAATACGGTTCACTGTAAGCTAGTGACTCTTACGCTTGCTTCTGTTGGGACCTGGCCTTCCTCGTAGGTGATCCTATATTCAGGAGCTGGCAAGAGTGGCGCAGCCTTGTGCGCATTGCCGCATTAACATATCCGGCCGAAATACAGGGTTGCCGAAATGAGGGTACTTCGCTAGCACTATCAGCATATTTCGGCCAATGGATCTATGGTTCCTTCGCGTCTCGGTGCAAATCTGTGGAGAAGATCTGCAGTCTAAGCTCAAAGCCGTACAGCATGCACAGCCTGCTTTTTTGGTAAAATGGCAGCATGCGGCTCCGCATGCAGGCAGCTTGGGTTGCCAAATCATGGGATTCAGCCAAAGAATTGTGTGCAACAAGTACATCAGTTTGCTTAGCTCGCGAGAAACAGATTATGCGATAGTCAAACAAGTTCTTGGCTCTTGTTGGACACACAAGCTGTCCTTGTGCCCAGGACTCAATTTACTCACCGGCAGTGAGAGGAGTCTGTTCAAAAGGGCCTGCTGCAGTAGCTGCAGCACTTGACCATCACAAAAGCTGGGCCACAAAAATCCTACGCTTTCGTTGGCACCGGCGGGCTACTGCGCCAAGAGAGTGTTGGCGATTGGTCTTGCTGGCCAACTAAATGCAACGCGCTTGTGAGGCGCACCAGTCAGTCACAGAGCAGCAACTACCTGCCCGACTGCTTCGGGCAACGTTTTGTCGTTGTATAACGAAATCTTAGAATACAGTGCCAATGCCTTCACGTGCCTTCCTTGAAATGCTGCTCATTGGCGGATTTATTTCACTAAATGAAATATCCACAAGGCATGCCCACAACATCCGGACGCTTCTGGCAAGGGTCAGAACTCTGCCGCATTGCCGGGTTCGGACGTACTGGGCCTTCAAGCGAACTGCTCTCCATTGAGCTCACTGATGGTTCGTAGGGAGCTAAGTAATGGGCTCCGCGAGTACTTGCTTTTGAAGGCTGTTTTCAATGGATAGTCTAACTGGCACTAACTAGTTCTTAGTAGGGAATAAGGGAAGACATTATGCAAGGATTATGATATTGCTATAGGGGTTATATTCCCTTATTCCCTACTCAGAGTCAGCAAGTACGAGTAGTATGGGATAGAATGGGGACCGTCCCTGTAGAAATGTGGATGGTCCCTGCAGGGTCCCATGGCCAGGTGACTTGACGTGGGCCTTCTGCGCATGCTATAGGAAACAGTGAGCTACCGCCAGTCACTGACAGGAAACAATAGTAATTGTAATACTAGTAATAGTAATAAGAACATTCCATCGCTGCAGTCAGAGGCACACGGCTGCCGCGCATCAGACATGAAATCAAAAAAAGATCAGGTTCAAGATCCCCTCCTTGCCCTCAGTGTGACTTCTGAGTGACCAACAGGAGCATGAGCAGCAAACTGAGAATTGGGATCTAGTAACGGCAGGAAGTGTACATAGCAAGAATCGTCTCGTAATGTAATAGAAGCGAGAAAAATGGCTTTCTGAGATCCCTACTCCTTGGCCGCTGGTTTTGAAACGTCTTCTTGAAGTTTCTCCCACCTCACGAGCACAGCCCCTGGGCTCAAATGAGTTACAAGCGATGCCTAGGCCTACATGTCAGAAACACACATTGTTTACATCCCCAAGCAGAAGCTGCTTTGCCAAGCGCCATGTGAAATCATGGGGAATGACGACTCTGTGGCAAGCGCGACTGGATTTTTGATATGTTGGGTACATGTCGCGCATGTTTAGAATATTATATCACCGCAGTGCACCCTCACCACACGCTGGTTTCTAGATACTTGTACCAGATAGCTTAGCCTGACAAGCCCTCGTGCATTCGGCAAGATGGCCTCCATACTTTTGCTGCAACAGGGCTCTTTATGTGTGCGGATACTGGAAATCGGGCTACTGGTACATGCTGTTACGACGTGCATCGTGGTTTCTGTAGGAGCGTGCCGTGAGCAATTCGGAAACAAAACAATCGATGCAAGATGAACACTGGCGAAAGCCACCCTTTCCAGTGTCGAGCACTGACAACAATATGAGCAAATGCAAGACCAGTCAGAGGTTCCACAATGGGCTTCCGCTATCCCCAAAAAAGAAATCGCCATCAATCCAATGACAAATATCTTAAGTCCCCTTGTACATTGACTGTTCTACTTCTACTGCCAAAACCGGCAGGCCGGCTACATGCCGGGTGTCTTGCCATTCATCTTCATCTTCAATGAACACCTGCGGTTGAGACACACGGGAACACCCACGTCTTTGTATTCACAGCACGGTGCCTAAACCCTAAAATCCGCAGGCAGCTTAATTTGAGTTCCTTAACAGCAACCCAGAAACGCTTCGAGAGTACTCGGTACTATCAATTCGCTTAGTAGTGATGAGCTGACACTCACAACGTTTCCCTAGAGCATTTCGCCAAACAGCCAAGGAACATCGCCGCGCTTTCGCGCAAGCTCTTTCTGGCGCTTGATCTTTTTCAACTCCTGTCACAGCGTGGCACGTGCGGGTGGATCTTTCTCAAAGTCAGGTTGTGCTACCTTCTCGGTGTGGTTTGTCTTCTTTATCTTGTGAACGTTGCCAAACTCGTCAGTATACCTGGCAGTGGCAACATCTTACATTTATGCACATCCTGCCTTGGTGCGCGGGATCCGCATACCAAAGTGCAACCAAGATGCTCGTCCGCCACAGTTCTGCCTTCTAGCCTTCAATGCAGAGCAGTTCCGAGCTTTCTCCTTTACTACAGTCCACTATCCAATCCAGTTCGCCGTCCATGACACCTCAACTGGAGCCTTTATTCATCAACCCCAATATAATACCCTAACCCCTAAACCCTATTTTCATAGTTTCCATTTTCTTTTCCATGTTCCCTGTATAACCCCGAAATATATAATATGGTAGTAGAACCCCCAAACAATTGCAATGCATGTCTGGATCTACCAACTCTTCCTCTTGGTAGCGGACGCCACGTCGGCTTTGCTGAGTTGTCCCTCTCTGGTGAGGCGTCCAGCCTTTCAGAAAGAGCTGGGGAGTAAGACGACTAAACAATCTGAGAGCTAAGCTGCTGATAGAAAACAGCATACACTGACCCTAGTCAATAGGTGGATATATAGCTTCCTTCACTTTCAAGATACATGTGCGACGATGACAATGATGGCACTGACAGCACGTTCCACGAACTGCTCTTGGCCTTAATCTAGGGGTAGCCCTAGTCTTGGGAAAGTGCTCCCCCCTATATACCCCTATTCTGCGTTGCACCGGCAGCCAAGCTAAGCACGTCCATGAGCCATCTCTCGTCACAAACTGCTTGGCAGAACCTGGGCATATGCAAGCCGAAAATCTATACCTGACTATATCTCACAACCAGGCAGAATTATTTAACAACAGAATGACAATCCCTCAAACATGTCAGCAAACCTCGCCTAATTATCTTAAACCTCCACTGCCATTGCCAACTGTCAATCTTAATTTGTAGGAGTTGCCACCTGCTGCCGCAATTTGGTGATCCCACGCTGGGCATCTCACTCGCGATTGTGGGAGATGACAATGACCTGAAGACACGGTATCACAATCCCAGTCTTAAGTGTGCCTACAATTACGTGCAAGCTCAACATGACCTCCAGATAAGAAACTCTCCCCGCACAAGTCCTGAGGTCTCGGCGCCACCCCCAAACTCCTTCAGGCCTGCCAACCGCTTAGAGCTTGAAGGAGAGTGCGTGCCGGACACTTACGCCATGCTCAATGAAGAATGTTCTTCGGTAGACGGACTATTCTCAAAATTGGAGGCCCTTGGTTGGATGCCTTGCAAAGCATCCCGTCCAACGGATGCAAGATGGGACTCGATTTTTTCAACTGCCCCCCTGAGGCCTGCAGCAAGGGCTCCCAAGGAGTCACGGTCAAGGTAATTTGTTGGCCTGCAGAATCCCGCGTAAACACAGCAAGTTGACGTCCATGTCGGATCTGATGCGTGACATGCTAGGGCCGTAGCTCGTCGAGGATGAGAATGTGGGGAGAGAGCCTTGGCTCTTCCTACATTCACTGATGAAATCTTGCGAGGCTTACCAAAGTGGTGAACTGTCATGGACAGGGCACCACATCGCTGCTCCGAGAACGACCTTCACCTTTTGACCACCAGAAAGGATTCCCAGCCTCAGTGGCACTGCTAGTACTAATATTGATGGTAATAGTAAGAACAGTATTTTGGTAGTAATATAATAGTAGTAATTAGTAGTAGTAATATTAATAATCATAAAATTAATAATATTAGTAGAACAAGCAATTTTGTAAAAGCTGTGTCTGGCCTTGTGTGGGATGCCAAGTTTGAGTCTAAGCCAAAGCCGGCCAAGTGCTCTTCCACCTGCGCATATCTCATCTACACAACCCAACGAATGCCTAGGCCTACGATCCCTGGGTGGCTCTCTGGACGGACTAGTGTGCACGGCCTGTGGCTGCGTCAGAGGCCGCGAAACGAGGCCGTGTGCCGCCGCCTGTCTCTCGTCCTGGTAGCGTCTCCATTTGTCTCGCTCTCTGGCAGTGCTACAATTTAAAATGCTCTCGACAGCACGCTTTGACGTTAGAGTTACGGCTAGGCCCCCACCTCGCGCTGAATCAGGCGCAAATGGCCCATCTCCAGCAAGGTCTCACGAGGGACCTGGCACTTCTAAATGACCCAAAGCAACCTTCCTGCAGACCATTAGTGTAGCACCCACATGACGCTTTCGGACCCGAATCCGTGCCATTTGACCTCAGAAGAACTCTCCCATTGAATGGAACGGCAGCCATCTCCACTTCAATGGGCATGTCACACAACCAAAGTCCAAGGAAAGTGCGTTGTACTCGTACTTCTCATCGCCCGAGTTTGCTTTTGACTTCGACCTTTCTACTTGCAGGTCTGCCTCCTTCTAAAAATCCTCTGGGATCCATCTACATAAGGTAGGATTTCAATGTGCGCAAGAATCGCAGATACCTTCACCAAAAACCGCAATAGATTTTTCTTAGGGGCTGGAGGGATTTAACACTAGGAGGAAGTAACTGATTATGAGGTGGAATCTTCAAAGGAAGAGGGACGCCTGCAACCCAAAACCCCACAACCCCCAAATCCTAAACCCTAAGCTCTAAACCCTAATCCCTAAACCCTACGCCCTCTTCATCACAGATTGAATGTAAAACCGAAATGGCTGTCGGAGTCGGGTCGTTTTCTGACCAATTCAGAGCATTCGCAAAAAAAAAGTAGACCTACTATTACGACTATTATTACTATGCATTACTATTTTTTTGTTTGCTGTAGGGATGCCCAAGCAGAGGCCTGGCATCCTGAGGAATTTCCAAAATTGGAGTAGCGTTTTTTGGTGGTTAAGCCCAGTAAGATTATATCCCTTATACAAAATACTATACCCGAAAGGGAGGATATAATCTTACTCCATATTGGGTACCATAGTATCCCCTAAACCCTAAACCCTAAACTTGGGTACTGCACCCACCCAGTAACGGTCTATAGTAGGGGTCCTATTAAGGGCTATATATAACCCTATTATAATTATTACCCAACTGTTACTGAGGGGGCGGCAGTACCCAACCCTAAACCAATAAAATACTACTCACATTGGGCTTCGGCTTCTTCCTCCCGAGAATCAGCTCCGGGTTGACGGCTTTGGCGTCTTCCTGGCAAGTCAAGGACACATGTTGGACACCGTCATCATCCTTACAACCACCATCATGGTCATAATATATATAATAACAATATAATAGATATATAGTATATCATATATATAGTCATCATAGTCATCATTATCAATTACTATAACCACAACCGCCGCTGCCAAGACTTGGTTAGGTCGCCCTGAAATGAAAATGCTGCAGCTGCTGGTTCTGCCCGTACTATAATGATTACTATAATTGCGATTAATGTCCCTGAGAACATATCACGTAAGCGCGAGCATCCAATTTGAACGAAGACAAGAAGGGGCAACCAATTTGAGACTGGCAGGAAATTTGCGATTGAATTAGGCGAGGAACCGGGGAAACCAGTCTGAAATCCAAGCCAAAAGCCGCATGAGTTGAGGTGGATTGCAAAAGGAATCCCATTCTGTGACTGTAGGGGCGCCTTTGCATTGGTGCACTTGCAAAGAACACCAGCTTCGTTCAGCCTCGGACAAAGTACTTGTAAATCGCGCTGGTAAGAGAAATGAGCCATGGCATTTGCAAAGTGATACATGTTGCCCCTCGGTGACGCTCTTCAGCAACAATGAGATTTCCATTGCTAGATACTTTGTAATAGCTCCCGGGGCACTATCACTAGCAGCTGCTACTGAACTACTAGAGCTTTTTATTTACCAGTCACGCTGGCATGCCTGCGTGATTCTTTTTAGCTGGTCCTTCAATCCCCCCACCCTCTATTTAGCATTCGTATAGTACCACTATGTAATAGGCAGTATTCATTGGTCGGGGGAAGTATGCGGCGGCACTTGTATTTCCAAATGTTCCACATCTAGAGTTAGAGTGGAGCTTGAGGACACACACCCGGCGTTCTTTCCCTTACTCACAAAGGCGCACAACAAGAAGACAGCAGGCAGTCAACTTGAAAGCAAAGGCTTGGGACTCGGCCAGTATTTCTTCTTCTGCACATTGACCTCCTGAGGTGCACTCATGTTGTGTAAGTCAACCCGGCCTGCTAAAATGCTTTCAATAGACCCTATCATGAACTATGTTATAGTATATTCTAGTATATTATGGTATAATGTATAATAAGGAACTATATTATACAGTAATATGGTAATTTCTATTTTCTTTTCCATTATCCCAATATAACCCCTATGTAATCCCAATATGCTCCCCTATAATCCCTATAGCTTCCACTTTCTTTTCGATTATCCCTATAACAAGCATTCACCCGCACATGGCCTGCCTCTGATCGGTAGTTCAGTGCTTCACGATCTTCACCGCCGGCGAAGCGCCACAGCAAGTACCTTGGTGAGCATTTGCAAACGCTGCAGCCTTCGAGGTAGCAATCGCAGCAATGGCAACGGCAACCAGTTTATCAACCACGTCGAGTCAAGTTAAGGAAATGCATCGCAAACTCTGGAAAAAAGCAGCGAGGCCCAAGCTGTGTGGGCGTGATGTCCAAATGCTGCTCCTCTGTCGCACGGGACACTCGCAGCAGGCAGGCATGAATCTTTCAAGTCCATGGACTTAGTGCCATGCCACGTGGTGGAATGCATGCTGGGCAACGTAAGAGATTCTCACCTGATCGGAACTTGACTCGAGCTGCCCGTGGTAGTAAGTGCTGGGCAGCGCACGTTGGGATGCTTCCAAACAATGCTCTTCCCAGAAACTGGCAGCTCGCCCACCAGTGCCTTGCACAAGCTTCATTGGATTGAAGCTTTGGATCACCAAATCCAGAAGATATACTCTATTACATTAGGTTATATTGGTGTTATATTGGGTGCATATTGGGATAATGGAAAAGAAAATAGAAACTACTCTATTATAATATATCAGACACTAAATTCAGACTCACACCTTGATCATCGTGGACTTCCCAGCACCATTGGGGCCAATTACCGCCACGCGACCTGCAGTAATTTCTGTGGCAGGGAAGGGCAGCCCAATCCTGATGTCAAGCTTTTTTGGCTGACACCTACTATAGAATTTAACTATGTTGTAGTATATTGCGGTATATTATGGTATATCATGGTACATCTAGTATATTATAGTATATTATAGGGCCCCCACTTAGAAGAGAGACCTCAATGCTCACGTTGAAGAGGGTTGGCCTCCAGGCTCAGCACTGAAGCAGCCACGGGGCTGGAAGTAGGGTCATACAGGCAAGGCACGTTTGGTTGCCCGGATATGTGTATGTGACCTCAGAGAGTCATCACATGGATTCAAGCAGATTCAAGCACCGCAGTCAAAACAAAGCCCCGAACGTTGTGCATCTTCAGCAGCTTCTTGCCCTTGGACTTAACTCCCTGAGTCAACGACGGATCAGAATCCTCATCCATGCCAATTCACTCCAATGCCTCCAGCATTCCCGGCTCAGGTAGAACAAATCGCTGCTTGTCATTCGTGAGGCTCAAGTAGGACCTGGCGCAAGATGACGCGAGCATGCTGCTAGGTTTTTGGTGCTTTTCTCTCCTGGTCCGCAGTGCTGGCCGAGTAGCTTCGCTTCCGGACATCGCCGTACAAAGTCGGTGATGTTACCCTTGTAGGTTTTCAACCTGAGGATCCAGAAAGGCAGTGCCAATGACTGAGTGGCTGAGTACATGACTGTGCAGTTGATTTGTGCCTTCATCTTGCCGCTGAAAGATGCTAAACATGTGTTTTCGCTGCGACCGTGGATTGTGCAGGTGTTGCAGGGTTTGGGAAGCCGCCAAGGTCCCGGAATGCATTGGACCAGTTCCCAGGTTTCTTCACGAGTGATCCAAACGTCACCCAAGCGGATCCAGGATGACGCTAGGCCCAGATCAGATACGTTTGCAATGAACCGGGAAGGCAGCGGATCCTGCTTGCTTCGCCTGGAAATTTTATTTGCGCACGGGCTTCGTGAGAACATCGTGCAGCTTTCCGGAGCCCAAGCCTTAGCCTCCCCCCCCCTTGCCGTCAAAAATCTCAGTAGGCCGTCATGGGCCCTTAAGCTCCCAGGATCTATGAATACTTACCTTAAATTAGAAGCTTCCTCCTCATTATCTCCAGCAGAACCACGGCTAAGACCCCAGCAAGTGGTACCGAATGGTACCGATATGCAAAACATGAGACTCCAATATAGACCCCCAAATACTAGAAATAATCCTTATTCTAGGGACCCCTCCCAAAAAGTTTTTCAATTTTGGCAAAGCCTAACTCCTCTGTCCCCCTATATATTATGTTTCCCGTCAAAACAGGACGAAAAGCCAAATCTTCCTCTGAGTGCCAGACTTCCTCTGCTTGACATTGATGACATGCGTGCACACCTTTTCCAGGAATGCGGTGAAACCCTAAGGGTGGAAACAGATATACCCTATTCTACTAGGTTATGTTGGGGTTATATTGGGTACATATTGGGATAATGGAAAAGAAAATAGAAACTACTATAATGTAATACTATAGCATGCTATAATAGTTTCCATTGTATGTTCCATTATCCGAGTACAACCTACATATTACTACATATTACCCCATATTACCCTAAATCTGTAGCCTCCTTAGAAGTTATTTGACATTTGAAGGTTTTGTATTAGCCCAAGAATCTTCCGTATTAGTTGTCCAGATCTTTTTTCATTTGATTCTTCACTACGATGGAAATGTCCCTAACTCCCTGAATAATCCCGGGACATCCCCTCTACACAGTAGTTTCCATTGTACTTTCCCCCTAGCCCGCAAACCTCAATACTAAGCCCTAAAACTCTAAACCTGGAAGGGAACCAAAATCCCATTACGCGATCTGACCCCTTTATACTCGTTTTATACCCCTGTATATAACCAGGTGGTCGCCCTACATGCCCGTATCACCCCTAAATTGTAAACCCTAAACCCTAAACGGTAGTTTCCATTCTCTTTTCCATTATCCCTATCTTACCCTATTTTACCCTAATATTACCCCAACCCTAAGCCCTAAATAACCCTAAACCCCAAACGAAAAACCCTAAGTCACTCCTCAACCCTAAACCCTAATACACTGTAATATTATACTATAGTAGTTTCCATTTTCTTTTCCATTATCCCAATATGTACCCAATATAACCCCTTTATAACCTAATATATAGGGCATATTTGCGCACCTAGTCACTCCTCAACCCTAAACCCTAAACCCTAAACCCTAAAACCCTAAAACCCTAAAACCCTAAAACCCTAAAACCCTAAACCCTAAACCCTAATACACACCTTGTCCAGGAAGGAGCTGTCGTGGGACACCACAATTGTGGTCACCGGCCGGCTGCTGTCTCTGCTTAGACTAAGCCTCAGCAACGAGTTCCATTGGGGTATAGGGGGATTGCATAGGGGATGATAGATACATATATGGTTCTTAAGTGGTACTATGGACCCCAAAAAAGGGAGTAGAATGGAGAATCAAAGGCAAACAGAAACTGCTGCTTATTTAGGGCTCATGTAACAGGTTTTAGGGGGACATAGGGATCAAGCAGTGATGTATGGGCATGATATAGGGCGCTTTATGGACATTATCCCAATGACGGACAATCACAGGGCAAAGACAATTGAAGGTGACGTTAACAGAAGCCATCTGCAATACAAATCTCAACTTGGACTACCTGCAGGATATGAGCTTGCCTACATAATATAAAGCCCTAAATCGTAAACCCAAAATGGTAGCTTTATCTTATTTTCCATTTCGGAAAATGCCCATGCTGATATCCGTAGAAACCTAGGTTTCATTTCATGGTCATGTCCTTTTCCATCTGAATCTCCAGTACAATTAGTATCCATTTGATTTTCCATCAATTACATGAGAAAAATCGGCTGAAATGAGGCAGGTCACAAATAGTCTCCCAACCATGCCACGTTTGCAACATCCAGGTGTCCTTCGTGGAGTCTTGCATGGCATTGAAATCTACACCGTTGAATTCACAACTTCACTTACTGGTTGTAAGTATGGAACAAGGGAAGATTATCCCTATATACCATAGTCGCATATTCCCTACGAAACCCCAGAAAGTTCATGCAAACTCAGCTCGAGCTCCTCAACCCTCACCTGGTTGACTATCCCCATAGGCCCCTATGTAACCCCTATGTAACCCCTATGTAACCTTAGAACCCTATGTAAACCCTAAACCCTGTACTTGTAGCAGTGGGTCCTGTGGGCTCATCCAGAAGCAGGATGTCTGCGCACATCAGCATGGCTCTGACGAGCCCCAGCCTTTCGTCGGAAAGCTCAGGCGTTTGTAAGGCGTCTCTTTTACCCGTTCTCCCCTCGTAAAGCTCAATAAAAGCACGCTACTTACGGCTCAAGACCCGAAGGGACTGAGAGGCCTCCAGATCAGTTGGTTACGGTTCAACTCCGAATCAAACTCAAACGCGCGGGAAACTGTGTTCCACTTTGCAGTCAAGGACAGAAGAAAGGGACTCCTAATATTTGGAACCCCATGAAGTTCACACCCTACTGCAGCGTTCGCTTCAGTCTCGATCCTCAGGTGCAGCAGTCAAGCTCAGGGCAGCACTTCATCTTCCACCCGCCGGACAAATGTCCGATCCTGCAATGTGGGTTGCAAATCAGCTGTGGCTTGTCTGAAGACGCTTTCTGAGGTCAATGCTCTCACTGCATCGAGTTGACTGCCGGCTCTGGGGGCTTCAAACAAAGCTAGGTAATCCCCAAAAGATAAAGGAGGGTCTCTGCTGAAACTCTCCCTACTATAGTCACCAGGGTTCCCAGGATACCCCAATTTCGAGAAAGCTCCAGTTGACTTCCATCCTACACTGGGCAGCTGGCTCACTCTTCAACTTCTGGTCATCGAAGCCAATGCTGCGCAGAGCGGCAACAACCTGAGTTCCACACAGGGATGCTTACAACTCGACAGGAGAGCGCGCTAACGTGCTTCAACGCTGAGAGTTGGGCCTTCTTCTTCCTTGGCTTGCGGTTTCTGGTAGCATGTATGTGGTGGCACCGAAGTAAGCTCACACAGTAGAGATGCGTAGATGCAAATGCCAAGGCTCGTCACTCCCATAGCTTGGATGGTTTCGTCAGAGAAGATATACTCGAGTGGTGTCCACCTCGATCATATGCTCAAGGCTGAAGACATAGTTGGCAGATGGTCATCAGAGTCATTAGTGCTGTAGGTAGGAGAGATCCGATAAGAGTCATGCTTAGCACGTCTTAAGGGTAGTTCTTACCAGTCGTTCAGGTCCCCATACTTCATGAGCTACAGTCTAAACTCCTAGCATCCCCTTAATGAGCCCTGTAGTAGGAACCCTCTATAATCCCATATCGGTGGTTGTCAAAATTATGGTCCCTTTTTGGATCCCTATTATAATACGGCGCCTAATATTTAGGGTACCCAAAAAAGGACCATAATTTTGACAACCAGCCATATACAACCCCCTATAAGGAGCTTAGACTCTAGCTACCCTAAACCCTAAACCCTAAACCAGAGACAGTGGCACTTAAGGACTCAGCTCGCACTCTGGCTCCTTCTCACCGATACCATGCTCTACGAAGGCCGTCACAAGCTCACTCTTCGGCGGGAAGCCATCCACCTCCCAGTTTCCATCTTAATTTAAGTTCCCCAAAAGGGTACCCCTAATTTTGGGAAACCCAAGTTACCATAATGGGTATATATAGGGATAATGGAAAAGAAAATGGAAACTACCATAATGGGGTTATGTAGGGTTCAGGGTTTAGGGTTTAAGTTACCATAATGGGTATACATAGTAAATAATGGGTTTTCCCCATACAATAACTCTATTCCCCCAGTTTCCATTTCATNNTTATTAAAGGGGCATACTAGGAGTTTAGACTATAATCCCTATAACTCCCCATATAATCCCAGTGTCCATTTCATGTTCCATTTTATTTTCCATTTGATTCTCCATTATTGGGGTATAAACCCTAAACCCTATATACCCACCTGAGCCACCCAACAGTCCCAGACACCAGGGCTGCCACCAACGTCTCAGATGGTTCTTTGGACATGCTGGTGATATGATGTAGTTCCGAAGCACCATCAGGGATCTTAACAGAACATGAGACCAGCCTGCTCGTTGTTGATGGCTCGCAGGAGAGTGCTCTTGCCACAATCGTTCGGACCTCGAGGCAGCAAGTTCTAGCCAACTACCCGGCAAGCTACTTGCAGTGATGGGATGCGGTTGGCACTTAAGAGGCAGACCGCAGAGCCCATAGCATTTCCCACGCTTCAGGTGCAACCTGGCAGTCACAGTTCTGAAGCTCATGGATCTGTCAGGGCTGAGCGGAAGATGTACGCAGATCATTGTTTCCACCGTAGGCTTCGAAACTTTGAGTGAATCCTGATCTCAGAACTTTGCCTGGAAAAGCCTCTGACGAACTCTCCAAAATCTACTGATTGCACCAGGTTCAGTGCTCCCAGAAGCTTCATTCTAGTGAACAAATTCCGACCTGCCTGGTGTTGTTCAGAAGCGTGAGGGCCTTGCAGTGCAGCAAGCAACGGCACAGGTCTGGCTCCCAACTCTGTCTCGAAGTGTTCTGTTCTGCGGTGCACTGAGGAGTTTCTCAAAGTGACGGGCTCTCAACGAAGCATGTCTGAAAAAAGGAAAGTCCTCTCAACCGAGCAACACAGACTCTCGCACAGTATCTGGAATTTCCCAAGTCGGAGTAAGCACTGAGTTGCAGGCTCCGTACCCGAGAGTGAAGATGCAATTGCACAAGTCCTCGCCTGTGCAGTTCTTAGCTCCAAACACTTCCACAACCTTGTGGTGGCTAGTGAGGATTTTTTCTGTTACCCTCCTTCTTCTGAAGGTAGAGCTAGAAGCCACTACCCAGCGCTCATGTACAGATGTAGAGGAGTTCAAGGGGCAAGTTGTGCAGGCAAATGCTGGAAGCCTTCTTCATCCAGGTCCTCAACCTTGGTTTGCAGAGCATCTGTGCCAAACTTGATGGCATAGGGTGTAGGATTTAAGGGTTTAGGGTTTAGGGTGTAGGGTACTAACAATGATGGAGGATCAAATGGACAAGAATATGCAAAATGAAATTGCAGCTAGGGCCATCTGGGGTGCGAGGGATAACTACGCACAGCAAATAACCGCAAGTGGCCAATTCCTTGCTGTTCCTAAACTTGATTGCTTATTCAGCTGGGCGAGTAGAAGAGCCATGAAGAATCAAGATGTTGGTAATTCTCCGTATAAGCCCTAAATAACCCTAGCTTCCATTTCATCTTCCATGTTCTTTTCCATTTGATTCTCCATTGTTGGTACCCTAAACCCAAAAGCCCACTAAACCCCTAAACCCTACTAAAGCCTAAACCCTTTCGTCGACCCAAACCCCTTCCAAACCCTGAAGCAACCTGAACCCGCTCAGGGTCCAGACATCGTCCCCCTCCGCGGCATCATAGCAGCTCTCCAGCAAGTCAGGCCTCCAAATTTGTTGCATATTGTACTCCCATTTACTTACTGGGGACTAGTAGGGAATAAGGGAATATGTAGGGTTGAGGGCTTAGAGTTTAGGGTTAGTAGGGAATATCGGAATAGATTATATGGGGATTCTATTGGGGTTATATTCCCTTATTCCCTACTAACCCCAATAAGTTTAGGCAAACAATACATAGTGGCAGCGGCATGAATTTGAGCACATGGTGCAGCTCCAAGGCTGTAGCACTAAATCTTCGCAATCCTCCACCGAAAGAATTGATGGCGAGAGATATGGCCTCAATTGCATGTGGGCGTGGAGAGTCTCATCCAGCGACAGCTACTTGTACCAAACTGCAAGAGAACTTGTGATTACAAAAGCCTGCTGACATAGGGACGGCACGCAATGCACTGCCACCATTCTGCATACTCGAAGCTGCGGCATGCCTGAAAGGCCGGCATGGACAAGTCACGGCGGAGGGTTGGACATGGGTGGTTGTCAAAATTATGGTCCCTTTTTGGATCCCTATTATACTACGGCACCTAATATATAGAGTACCCAAAAAGGGACCATAATTTTGGCAACCACCCACATGGCTGGAGGTCGCCCTAAACCCTAAACCCTAAACCGGAGTCTTGGGAAGCCACGCTGATGCACGTGCACAGGGACGCGACATAGTCTGCGACCAGCTCGCTGACCTGAACAAGTCTTTCTTGCCAACCCAGGCTCCAAATGGTAGTTTCCCAAAATAAGGGGACCCCAATATAGGGTTTAGGGTTTAGGGTTTGGGGTTTAGGGTTTAGGATTTAGGGTTTGGGGTTTAGGGCTTAGGGTCCTTAATAGTCCTTATTATAGGGACCCCCAAAAGGGTACCCCTAGTTTTGGGAAACCCTCAAATGCAAGGAGAATTGGCCCGTACAAGTGACCCGTGCTCCGCACCAGCTGCGTTTTCTCACCAGGAATCTTCTCTTGCAGGAGGTTTAGTACCTCTGCATAGAATGATATGCTTCACAAATCCAGCAACAAGCTTGGCCATCACGTCATGGAAGCAACAATTCTCTGCGACTCTAAGGTAGTTGCCGCAGTCTTGCTGATGAAGCGGCGTCTTTCTGCCTGCGTGCTGCATTCTGGGCAAGACTCAGCTTAAGTTGTTCAACACCCTGTATAAGCCCACATGAGCCATTGTCTAAACTCCTAGTATCCCCCTTAATAATCCCTATAGTAGACCCCTATATAATCCCCTATATATCCCCCTGTAAGGAGTTTAGACTATGGCTCACATAATCCCAGTTTCCATCTCATGTTAATTTTCCATCTTGAGGTTGATGGTCCATTACGGCAACTTAATTCAAGTTCCCTAACAGCACACAAATTGTGCCTTGTCTGCAGTCTGCAGTGTCTTGTAGCAGCGGCTGGCAACATTCCTCACCTTCGCAGCCAGGACACTTGGCCTGTTTGCTTGCATCTAGGTTGCCCTTCATTTACGTAGTCCCCAGAGTATTGAACTTTCAGCTCCCTGACCGTGTACAGGAGGAACCCCAAAAGCTATCAAGAGGCGTAGAAAAGTCCCACGAAGGTAGCGCTGACATGCGAGCAGGCCCAATGCGAGTTAGAGCAGAACAGGTTGAAGCTATGCTGCAGCCGTGCCACTGAGCAGCCCCCACAACGAAACGAGAAACTCAGATTCCGAGGGCATAAGGAGTAGCTGGTCACTTGAGACTCAACAATGGAGGATGCGAGATGAGGAAAGAAAACAAGAAAACCATGACCGCCGGCGGCCTCTGGATCAGAGATGTTGTGGGTCGCTTTTTCCACCAGGGGAATTAGCCTGAAGCTTCCAACGCAGTCTGAGATGAATCCACAACTGCCTTGTATCAACCCCATCAAAAGACATTGCGCAGACCCCATACACCAAAAAGACTATGTGAGCCATTGTCTAAACTCCTAGTATCCCCCTTAATAAGCCCTATAATACTCCCCTATATGATCCCCTATATAAGCCCCTTTAAGGAGTTTAGACTATAGCTCATGTAGATGGCCCGATGCAGGGATGATGAGCGCTGGACGTCGGAAGGAATGGCTGGATCTCAGTGACATCCGGCACCAGCTTACACATGTTGTCCGCAATCACCAGGGCACGACGCTTGGTCCTGTTCCGCGGTTTGGGGTTTACGATTGAGGGTTCAGGGTGGGTGTGCATGTCTTCTTGGCACATAGCAATCAATGCAATGACCGGCCGAAAGAATCACTACACTCAGTCAGGACTCCTTCAAGCGACCGCACGCCAGACTAAACAAAGGACCTAGAAACCACAGCATGACAGCTGACCGCCAAGCCTGAGCCTGAAAACCTTTAAAAACCTTCACATGGGAGTTTCGCAAAACTTGGGATACCTTTTTTGGGGGGTCCCCATAATTTATAGGGATTATAATATGTTGGTGTCGATACTCGGGTCCCCCCTTTTCGGAAATTGCCATATCTACCCAAACCTTAAACCCTAAATCCTAACTCCTAAATCCTAAGCCCTAAATCCTAAACCCTAAATCCTAAACCCTAAACCCTAATCCTAAACCCTAAACCCTAAGTCCTAAACCCTCTACCCAAGTGGAAAGCTTCCTGCCTCTCATCCCGGTCTTTGAGGCCACGTACAATCAATGGCATGACAATTGCCAAGGCGGGAGTCTCCACCTGGGGGATTCCCAAAATTATGGGTACCATTTGGGGGGTCCCTATAATAAGGACTATAGTATTTTAGGGTCGATATTTGGGTCCCCTTGTTTAGGCAAACTACCACCTGTAGCTTTGGGGTTTGGGGTTAAGGGCTTAGGGTTTAGGGTTTGGGGTTTAGAGTTTAGGATTTAGGGTTTAGGGTTTGGGGGTTTAGCTTTGGGGTTTGGGGTCAAAGGCTTTTTTCTTTTAACGGAACTTTTCTCCACCAACTAAATCCAGGCAGTTGAGAACGCTAATACAGCGGGGTTAAGGGTTTAAGGTTTGGGGTTTAGGGTTTGGGGTTTATGGTTTGGGGTTTAGGGTTTAGGGTTAAGGGTTTGGGGCTTAGGGCTTGATCATGTAAGTAAGAGTCTAAACAAGTTTAGGGGTTGAGAGTGTAGGGTTTAGATGAGCTAGAGTTTAAACTCCTGAAAGGAGGTTATATTGGGAATTACATATGGGAGTATGATAGGGGCTATTAAGGAGGATACTAGGAGTATAAACTATAGCTCATATAGGGACTATGGAAAAAGAAAACGGAAACCACTGTATTATGTGGAGGGGGGGTTGGTCATATACGGATATAAAGGATTATGTAGGAATATGTAAGGGTTTTATGGCTTAGGGATAAAACCACGCAATAATGCAGAATCAACCGGAAGAGAACATTGCACATAGAATGGATGCTTCTATAGATATGTGTATACAGGGGATTGATAGAGTTGGTAGGGGGAGGTTGTGGACATTCCCCCAGCAATGGGAAATCAACTGGACAAGAGCATGAACATGGAATGCAAAATACTGTTTAGGGTCTAGGGCTTTAAACCCTAAACCCTAAACCCCAAAGGGTTTAGGCTCTTAGATGTTTGTACAAGTATTGCAATTCCAATGGTACTCGCCTCATTGCAGGAAGTGAATGGCCCCCGTGCAGGTTGGGACGGTGTCTCGTCCTGGTACCCTGCTTCTCAGAACTCATTCAATATCTGGTGGAATGCCACGCCTGCCCTTGACTAGAGTTGCCTGTAGGAAGACTGATACTGCATAAATCTGAGATGCTTCAACCCTCAACCCGAAACCCTAAATCCTGAACCCTACATCCAAAATCCTCAACCCTAAACCAGTCAGACTCAGGGCAAGACAGACTGGACGAAGACAATCTCAGACAGTTGGCTGACCTTGGCCACCACGGTCCGGTGCCGAGGAGGCGTGAGCTGCAGGCTCTAGGTCTTTCGGGTTTAGGGTTTAGGGTTTAGGGTTAATCGCTGGAGAAAAAGGGCATGAACGTGAAGTTCACGGAACATATCCGAGGACCTCACCACTCGGGGGATGAACTCCTGGTCCATCATTGCCTGTGGACGCGTTCATGTCTGAGCAGCGTTGGGGCAATGGCAAAATCCAGAGCAAGATCTGCTTCACACGCGACTCGGCAAACTGCCTTGATGATCTCTCCGAGGTATGGGTCCAAATCCTGCACCCAGAAACCAAAGGCGACGCTAAGACCTAACATGCATCGGCAGGCTTGGCCTTGTTCTGGGCGCACTCGAAGAGAACCTTCGCAGCATCTGCTGCCTCAGCTCGCGTGACGCGATTGTCGGCATGATGGCGGATCTCATGTTAGCCACACACACTGAGCCTGAAACTGTCTGACGCACCTCTCGCTTCACCTCGCAAAAGCTGGAGTCAACCCTGCACATCTGAACTGCTCAAGGTCAAGACACGCCCAGAATGAACTTGATAAGGTGCTGACGTCATTGAGCATCTCGGCAATGTGTGGCATGATTCGATCCTGAGGCAGGCGTGCTAGGAAAGCCTAAGGGTCTCACAGACCAAAGGCAGGGATAAGTTTCCGGGAATGCTAGCAATCAGTGCTATCCGATGTATAGATGAGGTGTAATTACCTACTATTGCCAGCCTAGCTGGCACGTCAATAGCCTAATTGCCGCCAAGAAGAGTTGTCCCCAAGCAGTTTTCCCCAATAAGCCCCCACGAATCCAGAATGGAGTTATTTCGTTAAATCAATGTTGGGCGTAACAAGCGGAATGTGATTTTCACATCCTCAGTATGGAGAATCTACAAGTTGGAAAAGCCACCACACAAGCCACGCATCCCTACATGCTAGCCTCTTGACGACAACTCAAAGAGAGTTTCTGAGGGACCCTCACTTACCCACCTAAGAAGTGAGTTCCCTTCTTATTAAGTACCCCGAAGCAAAACCAACGATTTGGAGAGAAACTTAACCATAAAGCCTCTTCTGACCCATGTGACCTCTTAACCCCCCAAAAGCAATTCAGGCTTTAGGGGTTGCGAAATCCCCAGATATAACCCCCACATAACCCCATGTAACCCCCACGTCTTATACTAAACCATGGGATCCTATACCACACTCCCGCCCGACAGATTCTAGACTAAATCATGGGATCCTATACTACACTCGCGCCCGCTACATAAGCCGTAATTCTACCTTATTTGGGGTTGTTCATGGGGAAGGGGAGTAAAGGGTCGTGTAAGATACGATCCCAGAACCAAAGAATGACAATCCCTACATCTAGGCCCTAACCCCTAAACCCTATAAAACCCTACCAAGCACCTAAATCCCAAACCCCTAAACCCCACTAAACCCTACTAAAAACCCTACTAAACCATACTAAACCCTACTAAACCTTACTAGACCCTACTAAACCTTACTAGACCCTAAACTCCCAAACCCTCTGAACCCTAACAAACCCTCAAGCTGAGGGTGCCGCGAGCTGGCAGGCCAGCGGCTTTATTGTGTCCTGGACTACATATACGTTTAGTCCCCCTTAAGTAGATAGGGTGGGGTTATATAGGGATAATGGAAAATATAATGGAAACTACTATATGATATATTGGAGTTTCATTGGGATACTGGAGAAGAAAATGGAAACTACTATTTCGGGTATAGTCCCCCTTAAGTAGATAGGGGTTGTATTGGGTTATATTGGGATGATGGAAAAGAAAATGGAAACTACTATTTAGGGTTTAGGGTATAGTCCCCCCTTGAGTAGATAGAATATAAGGATTGTTATATTGGGTTAATGGAAAAGAAAATGGAAACTATTTAGGGTTTAGAATATGGAATATGTTGGGGTCATATTAGGACAATGGAAAAGAGAATGGAAACTACTTAAGCAGAATGGGTGTTATATAGGGATTAGGTGTTCTGTTGGGGTTATATTGGCAATGGAAAAGAAAATGGAA